AATGTAGGGGCCTGACTAATTACCTATATTATAACTATAGTGCTAATATACCCCACAACCCTATTCTCATGATGAATAAGGCTCCTGTACTACTGGTTCAACCCCAAACCCTAAACCCTAAACCGTAAACCCTTATTATTGAGGCTCCTATACTACCGGTTCAGCCCAGCCACCCCAGGATCGACAGGTCGTGGCCGGAGACGAGGATAGCTGGGCCTTTTGGGGGCTCCTCGTGATGCAAAAAGCAGATCCCTCCCAGGGAGCCTTGAAGCAACCCGAACGCGAATCCTTCAAGGAAGCCCTTAAGGGGTTCCTATAAAGTACCCTTTCGTAATGCCCCCCCCCTTTCGTAGTGCACAGGGTCCCAAATTAGCTGATCTCTCCCCTGGTCTGAGTTTGGATTAGGAAGGCTTGGGAATTGGGGTGTGGGCGATGCTGAAGGCGCATCAGTGTTCAGCTTATCATCTTGTCCTCAGAATTCCATAGCCCCCCGACGACTAGCAAACTCGGAAGAAGGACCCTCATTTCAGCAACCTACCTTTGGATTGAATGCCCTGGAGAAAGGGAGCCGGGCTCTCTACTTGCGGGTCCCTGAAGCCTCGTACCCAATCCACCAAACGAGAACAGGAAAAGAACAAGCTGATATTACATACAGAATGTAGATCCGCAAACAATGAAAACCGATGCTCGGAGTTTAAACTCATTTTCGAACCCTTCGTCGTCCTGTTTCACCTGAGTTGGCTCGGGAGTTCCGAGGACCGCATTGTGCCCGGCATCCAGAAGCTTCATGACTTTTAGGTTCCTGCAAGCGGGCTTTTCCGTCTCAGGACCCACGAAGGCTAGAAAGGCGTTTAGGTGCTTTGATGGGCTTCTAGCCTTTAGGGTTTCTTGCGTCCACCATGTTTCGGGAAGGGCTAGTCCCTCTAGTATGTAGACATGTTCGTAGAACGTCGGCCTTAACTAGAGCGTATACACATTGAACAGGTTTGGTCCAAACTGGTTGTTGGTCCAAAAACTCCGCGCCCTCGTCCCTGAAGACACAACCCTCCCACCGAAACCAGCAAAAACCAGAGTCCCAAATCGAAGTGCGGAATCTGATCACGCAATAATTAACTTCCCGCGCATGCGATATGCCGGGCATGCAGAAGAAGGGCCAGCTCGATTTTAGGAGCAACCCGAAACCCAAGCGAGCTCCCGATCGCTGTTCATCACCATGACGATGATGACGACGATGATGATGATGATGATGATGATCATGATGATGACGATGCTGACGATGCTGATGATGCTGCTGCTGCTGATGATGATCATGATGATGATGATGATGATGATGATGATGATGCAGGTGGTTGTTGTTAATCTGGTTCAAACTCTGCCCGCCTTGCCTGGTAGCGAAAACTTACGAACACCCGTGCTTTTGATGTTTGCACGGAAAAAGAGCACGGCATTCTTGGAGCTGTTTGCTCACTCTAAACCCTAAACCGTTAAAGCCACGCGTGCAGCTGAGGCTCAATGCGCCGAGTGCGAGTGCCTGGGCGAGAACTCAGATCCACGCTCGTCTATTCTTTCGAATCCTGCAGGAAAAGCTTACTATTGCTATTCCCTGGCTTTCTTTTCTGACGTTGATTACGAATGCTATTCTATATGCAAGGCCTGAGCACGAATCCAGCCATGACATCCGCTGATGACAGCCTGACTCCCAAACCCAAAGTCACTAAACCCACGCAGCCTCACTGAGCCCAAGGAAGGTGGCCCCAAAAGCCTGCCCCTATAAGATTACAGTTGTAGAAAGCCCATGAAGCTCCTCCGAAATCCGCAAAGGAATCTCTTCAAGTCTGTTTCTCTCGTTTTCCTGCTCTAATATGTATATATATATATAGATATA